CTTCCAAGCATAGGCTAATGACAATGTGTAAAAAGAAAAACCAAATCCTTACCTGAATGCATGCCAACACGAAGTTGTAAAATTTTACCAGGCAAGTGTCGAATTCTGAAGCCAACCATAGAAGATAATAAATCTAAAGACATAGTAGCTATTTCTCCTGCATGTAGTTTACCGTTTCTTATTGGTAGACCACTGACAACCATATCTTAATAAATAACATCAAACTTAATAAATAAATCAATTTCCGAATTCTATATCTACAAAATTTATAATAAGTTTACATCATTGTGCTCTTAAAATAATAAGTGTATTAGTTACCACCCTTAACAATGTCTTCCATAAAAAAATTTCAAATCACTATTAACCCTAACCCTTAAAGTTCTACTAATAAGATAGCTTGCCAGTCAAGGTAATATACGCCCACTGGCAGCTTTGATTTTGAATAAAGATATTTAGCAATACAGTAACAATCACCAGTATGAAATATTCAACCTTCAGTCATACACTTCTTTTGAACTGTTTAGGGCGATACTGAATAATATTGAGTATGAGTTATTGCCCTTGTTCTTGAAAAAGTGTTCAATTTTTAGCTCGTGAAAACTCTAGAAGGCAAATATTCAGTGCGGGACTGAATAATAAGATAGCTTGCGAGGAAAGGTAACATACGCCCAGTGGATTTTCTCATATTGAAGAAATTTTATTAGTTTGAATTCAATTACATATATATATGCCAGATATTTATGCTGAGTAATTCCACAAAATTTGTTAAAATCAATATCAATAACCCAAATACAACAAACAATTAAATCACACAGCTCTAATCAAGGGCAAAAAACAACTTTTGACGCGTGTTTACAAAGTCAAAGTTCATCAAAAATATCAAGTTAGAACTTGTCCGAGATGTTATCAATTCCAATGATCATAACAAATTTGATCAAATTTGGTTGAAAACTGTAGCTTCTATAGTGCTCACAAACACATTTTGACGCGTTTTTACAAAGTCAAGGGCAGTAACTCAAAAACCGTTCAGCGAAAATGCGTCAAGTTAAAACTTGTCCGAGATCTTATCAATTTCAATGATCACACCAAGTTTCATCAGAATCGGATGAAAACTAGCTTCAATCCCCATTTCATGTGGGCGTATAAAAATAAATTTCATGTCTTTGGGGTCTTAAAAAGTGTATGAATTACCTCCGTTAACATCATTGTAGTCTTAAAATAATAAGTGTATTAGTTACCTCCCTTTACAAAATGTCCCCCATAAAGATTTTCAATAATCAAAAACCCTAACTCTACTTAACCCTTTATTTATTAAATTTTATCGTGTATGAATTACCTCCCTTTACAATATGTCCACCAAACATTTTATTATTAACCCTAACTCTAATTAACCCTAACCCTATAAAATAAAGACCATATTAGTTACCTCCCTTTACAAAATGCCCCCCATGGACATTTTATTATCACAACTATTAACCCTTACCCTACATGCTGTTTCATCAAAATAATATCTTTTAAGAACAAAATAAGAGTTGATTTCAACTTTAGATACAGAATTCTTCAGGACAGCTACAATAGGAAATGGAGGTTCACTTTCCAATATACATAAGACAAGAGTTTAGGCACATGAGCAAATTAAAGGGCGTTGTAAGAGGTTTTCTAAATTTTGTGTAAGGTCAGCAAGGTCACTTAGGGGGATTATAAAGAGTTGTCTTATTTTTCTAAAATGTGCATCAGAGACACTGATAACATCAATTTGTACCATTCCAATTTTTAATCAGAGGTCTATGGCTTCTGCAATTCCACCAGGTATTTGATGATGTCACTTATCACAAAATATGCTTTCACATAAGGCCCTTTGCCTTGTGACGTCAAACATTTTTTTTTATGGCAATGCAGGAACCACAGACGTCTGATTGAAAATTGGAATGGTGCAAATTGATGCTATTAGTTTCCCTGATGCACATTTTAGAAAATTTAGAAAACTCTTTATAATCTCTCTAAGTGACCTTGCTGAACAGGAATGAAGAATTGATTACTTACAGGCATCACCAATAGTTTCTACCTTATAAACATCATAATGATCTAAAATAGCATCAAATGTTGTATAGAGATCATTGAGTAAATCTACAACCTGGAATGGGGTACTATCTCTAGCTATAGCTGTAAATCCAACAATATCACTGAAATATATAATTTATTAATGTTTTGTTGTCCCTTTAACTAGATGTTAATCTGTATGGATAATTTGGTGAGATCAATGTCAAGAGATTTGAACATTAGCCTAAAGAGAAAAATTGTTACAGCAACAATCACTTTGAATGCATATATTTGTCAAGATCAGTACTTAGAATATCCAACCCATCTAACCTGAAGAAAATGGTGACACATTCGAATTCTTCTGGTAAAACTTTTCTGCCATGTTTTAAATCTTCCACAACTTTCTTAGGTAACATCTGACTAATTAACTGTTCAGTTTTAGCTTTTTCTAAAATCAGATCTTTTGTTCTATCAGCTACTATAGCTTCCAAATTACTTGAGTATTTTTCCAACTGTAATAACATTATAGGAATATTTCATAATGGTGATGTGGTCAAAGAAGATTAACTTCACAAAACTCAGGCAATCATAAATAAACAACTGTAATAATATGGTATGATTTTTAAAATGGTGATTTGGTGGTCAAATATGTATCGTCGACTAAAAAATAACCCTATATTGGCCTAAATGGACTGAAAGGCTTAATAGTTAGATTGTTTGTTGGTAGATGACAAGTTAATGTCTGATGGCACACTAGTAGCTAAGGTAAGCTAGGTAAGAGGAAGAGGATTAATTCAGATTGTTTGGTAGTTGAGGTCAAGTTGAATGACATGGCACTATAAATCTTTACGCTATGTTAACTTATCTGTTTTAACACAAGATATTTCTGGCAGAAAGTCTGAACTGAGTAAACTGTAAAAACTTACCATGTTGACAAGATTATCAATGAGTTCACCTTTAACAGGATGTATTATATTTAACTGTTCTAATATTTGACGATACGTAGGTCTTTCTTCAGGGTTATCAGACCAACAATGGTCCATCAGCTACAATAATCATATCAAAATTTCAATAGATAGTCAAAAAAAATTCATCAATTTAATCAAATGTAGATGAAAACAAGGGAATATCTAATCAATTCATAAACCCTGTCTAAATTCTTCGTGAAAGAAGCTCCTTAGACAGAAATACTCACAATTTTCATTTTTCTACAGACTTCATATTCATCAGAGATAGAACTATCAGGTACAAAGGGACGGAAAGGTTTAGAAGCATCAACTCCAGTGTCTGACCAAATCTGTAAACACAACACTAACGTTTGTCATCTTAATCATAATTAAATAACGGAACACAATTTTATGATATAATACTACTCTTTGGTTTTATTGTACATCTTATATTTGTACAATTAGTTTATACTGAGTTCACTTTTGGCACTCAGAGCTACAGGCTGTACACATTAAAGATCTTAGACAGTGGGATATCTAATTTGAAAGGTAATTTTCACCTGTTGAATTACCCCTCATTGCACACTATTTCTAGTCAACTTATCAGAACCTTCATTGATTATTAAGCAAGTACAACAAAAGTTCTTACTCTGATAATTCGTCTGTTCCAGACTATAAAGTTGTTTTCACCTACCGATTTTTGTTTTTTGTATGCTGGATTATTTTTATCACGAACTAAGTTTAAGATATCTTCAGCTTCTAGGAAACTGGTTTCGTTGGTGTAGGGTTGTTCTCTTGTACACATCTCTGTTAATATTATACCATAACTTCAAACAAAAATAAACAATGTCATAATACTATTAGACAGTCAATTTATATTAAAAAAAATATTTTAACTTATTTCAAGTAAAGCCTATAGAACAGGTGGTTAGAGCATTAAAGTCTTTAAGATTATTTGTTTGTTTACATCGTAATGATTAGTCGTTGTGGTTTCTTATTAGAGTTAGTTTGGAGACCTTGAATAAGTTACCTTTCCTAATTATTCCAGTCTACCCAGCTGTAAATGGGTATGACTAATCAGGGAAAGATTAATAACACCCAGACTATCTGGTAGACAGAATTATTGTGAATTTAAGTAAAATAAATATCTCGTAAGA